CTTTCTGAAACGCGTCGATTTTTACAAAACTCATCGGTCTGAAAAACGAGGTGTGCTCTGATTGGCCAGCTATCCAATGCGTTATGATTGGCCGAATACCTCAAGTGTGTGAAGGAAATGTTACGCCCCTCACCATACTGTTGATGCCGTCAAAGTAGTTTCGCTTTCACAATGAAGCACACAGCGCCTTCACGACATGGAGGCAGCAACAACAATACTACAGCGAGAATAAAAGTTACGCCTGCTGTCTTTGCGTGAACATTTGGCGGCGTTATGCAAATCTTCCCACATCGTGACATAGACATGTGGGGGCGTGTTGGAACGAGCCGTTTTAGGTAGGCGTGGTTGACTCTTTAACTTTTATAAAGAATATCTCTTTGGATTTGAGACTTTAGTCTTTGCAACTTTACAGAACTTCTTTATGCACCAAGAGCTTGTAACACTCCAAAGAGAAAGGAAAAATTTAAATCGCATCATATGACCCCTTTAAGTAAAAAAACTCACATGTCTCCTTTCAACATGTCCATACAGGAAGCATACTGGAAATATATGAGGTCCCCACAGGAAGAGAAGTGTGGAGAGAGCTTTTGTACGGTCCATTCAGACATGTAATGTGGTCTATTTTTAGCCCAGAGTGTGACAACCTCTCCATAATAAAGTTAAAAAATGCATGCTCTGTGTATGTGTTTTAGAAAGTGTGCTCTGAATTGAAACAGTCTGTTTGGACTCCCTTTTGTGTATACAGTCACATGTGAGTGAAGGTGGGTTGTATATTTATCTGATTGGTTATTCAGGTCATCTTGCTGTAACGTTGAATGGATTTGAACAGTTTGCGGTTTGTTTCCGTGTCTTGTTTCCGTATGTCATGTTTATCAGCATGTTCATAATGACTGTCTTCTGTTTCTCTCATGTCATACAAAGTTCAGTGCATATTCATAGCTGCTTTATCGCTAACACCACATTGCTGAGTGACGAGGGACAGATTGCTGTGTCTGAAATGTAATATACCTATAGTGACAGCGTGTTTCCTCTGTGAAAGAGAGGCACTGGATATAGACCTGCATTCAGGCGCTGTTTTGGAAGTGTTCAGGCATGCTGGGAGTTCGTATTATGTTATGCTGCAGCTTTAACGTGGCTATAGGGCATCGCAGCGTTACATAACCTGCCTCTTCATCTTCCCATGAGTCAGTGCTGTGAGGCGTTTTAGTGTTGGTGTGTTGGAATGATCAAAGTCTCTCTTATCCGGAGTAGTTTTTAAGAATTAATTTTTATGAATGAATCCAAGTTCTGAGTTTCCTCACCAAGTTGTATTAGAAGTTATAAATAAATATAGTGATGGATAAAGATTTAAGGGGAAACATTCAGTTTTTACGGTCATGGATAAGTGAAATGGTAATATCAGGGAATATTTTATTGTATTTTAGAATAGAATAGAATAGAATAGAAATCATAACTGAAATTAGGCTAGCCTAGTGCCAAAAAAATGCGGCAATATTCTCCACAAAATGATTTGCATAGAATTAAACCCCGTGTTTCACAGTATTTGGATGGTTGTAGTTCCATGGCATGCACATGGTCATGCTTCCTTCTCAACTTATGGCCAGCCCTGAATGAAATCCACAGAATTCCATAAAAACCTCAGCAGACTTCATGATTTTAACTGCTGTTGTTTTCGAAGTTCTATGCATCTCTGCTCCTTATATTTGTTTTTTAATTTAAATAGTTTTTTTTTTTGAGAATCATCTTAAAATCCATTTAAATCCATTCCACATAATTCTGCAGATTTGTCCTTCACCATCAGCAGAGAAAAATTATGTAGATTCTGTGTGGATCTTATGGCTGACCATGTGGTGTGTGGTGTTTGTATACGTGTATATGTGAAACCAGCTTCTTTCTCATGCTCTTGAGGAGTCAGTCTCCTCAGTTGTAACTACTTGAGGGCTTTAAACAGGTTAGTCCGCACTGATACATAACACAGCTGGCCTCACATGATATTCAGTGTAACCCAAGCTTTGCCGCTGTGGTTCTCTGATATCATATATGTGCCGAGGTTCTCGGCTTTCAGGGGCTAACAGAATTAAAGCCACATGAGGACAACCAGAAAAATTCTATATTTGTCCTATGAGGGTCAATTTTTGCATACCTTGCAACAGAAATCTTTCTTTTCTTTCCTTGATTCAGCAACCGTTGTTAAATGAGCTGTACTTTGAACGTCAGTGTAATTCAGTGTCGTATTTGTTTACCCGACTGCTGCCTTGCAAAAAAGTTCAACCATTTGAAGCATTAGTGTTGTGTCATAGAGTAATGGATAGAGGAAACGGGTAACCAGATCCATCTGCCTCAGCCGTGCATTCACACGCCTTTCCAATATTCAAAGCCAATGCAGCAGCTGACATGTGTAGAGAAAGCTAAAGGACAAAATACTTCATGACCGTAAAATCCATCTGTTTAATATGAAAACATGAGGTCTTGGTGCACTTCAAATGTCAAATGGAAGTTGGCTGTTATTTCATAATCGCCTGACGGCGATAACTGTTATTTATACATTTTAGTGAAATATTCCGTACAATCAGGGAATTTTAAGTAAATCTAATATTCTGATATTCACAGCAACAAAATCAAAACAAACTGAGTTTAAAGGTGAATTATTATTATTTTTTTTAATTATTATGTATAATTTATATAATACAAGGATTTAATTTAAACATTAAATTATATTATATTTATCCCCTGGGCAATAGTTGTGCAAAAAATAATTTTTGTCATTAAATGTCTTGTTTGTTTGTGTATTAGGGTTACACTCCAAGGGCTTTCTAATTTTTTATTGTAATTATTTGTATTGCAATCATTTGTCAGCTAATATTTCATTGTAATGACAGCCCTACATGTAAGGCTGATATCATTACATCACGTCTTGTGGCTTTGTGACACTGAGGCTTTTAGTGGCTGGCTGCGGTGTTGAGCCGATTGCTGGCGCAGCAGTTTCAGAGCGGTGAGGTCAGGAGCGTGTTTTCACAGCACACTAGAGCTGGAACCGAGTGAAAGGGCCCTCACACTAACCCTTCACCTACCTTCCCTTTCATCGACTTTCTGTGAGGTGGAGATTTCCTTCAGCTAGACCACACCTTAGCAGTGTGTGTGAGTCTGAATTCATTTAGAAGGGAGGGTGTGCATGTGTCCTTGGCCCTGACAAACTGCTAATTTGTGAGATTTTAGATGTTCTATTTCAGTGGCTGACAGCTAGCTGTGTGGTCACTTTCAGTTTCCCGATTAAAAAACAGTCTAAATGTGTTTCTTTTGATGGGTCTGTTCTGTATTATGTATCCCTTTTTTTTTTTTCATTGCTCAGCATTTTTTTTAAATGATTTAAAAAAAACTTTAAAATGTTTTTTTTTTTTTTTTCCTGAAACGTTTGCTGCACACTATGTTTCCGAAATGTCTGGTTATCAGCATTTATTTTCATTGTTTTTTTTCTTTGTTGGCCAATGTTAGCGATATCTGGTCTTTGTCAGTCTGCATAGAAGAATGCAGCATTCTGTAGAGATACATTTGTGAGACTCTTTCTTACCATTTAAATGCAAAATAAACTCTGGTTGGTTGCTTTACATGTCAGGAGGCCTCTCTCTTCCTGTTTGAATGGCCAGTTCTTGACCAAAATAAGCTCTAAAGAGGAACAGGCTGACAGAAGTTTGGCAATGCAAGACTATTTCACACCTGATTAGGAATTAGTGTCAGCAATAGTTTTTGTTGTTCGTGCAGCACTGTGGTTGGTTTATTATGTCTGGAGTGTCTCTTTCACAGTAGAATGCATGAACTTCCAATATTACAGCATTTCCTGTTTGGGTTTCTGTGCGTTCATCAGACTTCCTGTGGTCATTGACTCCCAGATAAGGGCATGGGGCATTTTCTGCTCTCTGATGCCAAGTCTTTATTAAAGCTTCTAGGTCCTTTAGGCTATATGAAATTTTCTAGGCAATGTTTTGGCAGCCCACTCTGTGTTGTTGAAAGGTGTTAGCTATTAAAACCCATTTTATAGACTAATTTTACACAGCATATTTTACATAGCTGCATTATATCATGCTCTAGCCCTGTAGAAACATAAAGTGATACCTTAAAGTCCTCATGAAATCAAAAATGACTATATTTACTTTGTTAGCGCACATTGCTAAACTTGAGGTGAACAATTAATAAAGTTCATCCACTGAAAAAAAAAAAAGTTTATCTTGGTAATCTTTAATCAAAATCTGAGCATTTGCTTCCGCTCTGGAATGGCATTCCTTCTCTGATGACGTCAGTTTGATGGCTTGGGCCTTGACTTGGGCAGAATATCCTTAATCACACCCCTCCAACTGTTAGGTTGCTATGAGTGAAATAAAACCCCACCTTCTATTCAATAATCTGTTTCAGTTGGAAATACGTCACTATACTGAAGTGCAGCAACTTCCGGTTCACGCTGAATTTTCACAACTTAATCATCTAGCAATGCTTGTTTTATTCAGAGAGGTTAATTAAAATGGTCATTTATCGCAGACTAGACTTGGGCTTCTGTTCCTACATCCCTGTTTAGATCCATGAAACTGAAATTAAAGTTTGTCAGATTAGTTCTTTCCTCTGATATAGTTTCTGAAACTGACCAGGAAGCTTCCATATCTCTCCTTTCTGTTAAAGCCATGCTTATGTATATTGTGAAATTGTTATTTAAATATTATTATCTCTTTATCTTTGATGAAAAATCTAATAAGGCAGCAATCTGCATGATGCAATCTGCAGATTTTTATTGCATTTTCTGCACTTGTTTTTAGGGAAAGTTGCCTGAAATGGTTTTTAAAAAAGTGTTGCGCTCTCATAGATAATTAACACTTTTTCAAAATTAGCCAAAATATTGAATAAACTATTATTTTTACTTCTGCAAATTTTTTTGCATTTCCACATGCCACAGTGGAGTACTGTATATCTAAAATATTTGATATTTTGATATCTTTTTTTCTTTCTTCATTCAGGGCGAAAATAACCTATGGCGGAAGTTGAATCGCAAACTGAGAGACTCTGAGTAAGCTGGACTGTGCCTGTCCCATAATCTCCGCTAGTCGGGTCAAGGGACCATGGGAGATGGAGGTGTCAATGCGGTGGGAGAAGGGGTGAATCAGTCCCACGTGCTCTTTGACCACTTTGTCCAGGCCACCACCTGCAAAGGCACTCTCAAGGCTTTTCAAGAGCTTTGTGACTTCCTGGAACTCAAGCCCAATGAATACCGTGTGTTCTACCACAAACTCAAGTCCAAGCTCAACTACTGGAAAGCCAAAGCTCTCTGGGCCAAGTTAGACAAGCGCGCCAGCCACAAAGAATACAAAAAAGGAAGGGCCTGTGCCAACACCAAGGTATGAAAGTTTCCCTGGTGTGAAAGAGAGCGTTTTGGTTATTAGTTCTCAAACTTGCAATGTTCTGGTATTGCTTGAAATAGATTCTTTATGGACTTTGTGGCTTGATGATTTGGTTTTTACTCCTCATGGCCTGTGTTTCTCAGTGTCTGATCATTGGAGCTGGACCATGTGGTTTACGAACAGCCATAGAGCTGGGCTTCCTTGGAGCCAAGGTGGTTTTGCTGGAGAAGAGGGATGCATTCTCCCGAAACAATGTGCTCCATCTTTGGCCTTTCACCATTCATGATCTGAGGGGTCTTGGAGCCAAGAAGTTCTACGGCAAGTTTTGTGCTGGAGCCATCGACCATATCAGTGAGTAGTATATCAAACTATTTTTCTTATAGAGAGAAATGAACCTTTACAGTACAGACATCCATTACAGATCCCAGTACAAGTGGACATCACTAAACATAGATGTAAATGGGTTACGAGGCACATTGGCGACTTTCAGTTACTCTAACCACCTTCAGAGGTGTTCAAGGACTCCCAGCAAGTGTAGTGTAAATACTAATGCGTACTGAGTCATCCCAGACATTGAATGGCTGCCTACTCATGTAATCATTGTGGGATGTGTTGGGGAAAACCTGCCAAAACAAGGTCTTTAAACTTTGCCAGCAAGATAGAACAGTTGGACTTGTGGAAGTGATGTACCTAATCAGAGAAACTCCTCTAGAATATCTTGTCCACGTCTTGATTCAGATTTTAATACCATGTGTAAATGGGGTCTCAGATGTGCTTTCTGTTTTTGCAATCTCTTAATGCAGGTATTCGCCAGTTGCAGCTGATGCTTTTGAAGGTAGCTCTTCTCCTTGGCATCGAGATTCACGTCAACGTGGAGTTCAAAGGCCTCATTGAGCCACCAGAAGACCAAGAGAATGAGAGTAAGATCACTTTCTCATGTCCTTTCCATGCTAAAGTTCAGCTGTTCCAATCGTTTGTTTTAATTTCCACATAAATACCAGTCGTTCTAAAGAGCCTAGGCATATCCTGAACAAATACCAAGTCTTGCGGAGAAATGACTTGTCTGTCATTGCTGAACATGCTGTTGGTTTTTCCAGGAATTGGGTGGCGAGCCGAGGTCCACCCCAAAACACATCCAGTCAATGAGCTAGAGTTTGATGTCATAATTGGGGCAGATGGGAGGAGAAATACACTGTCAGGTAAGAATATAACACTACATACAGCATATATAATCGTAAATGAGAACAATGTCCTCTTTTTGAATCTTTGGTTCTTGTCTAGACAGGAAAAAAAAAAAAATAGTGGTGCTTGCTAACCTCAGCGTGCAGCTTGTGTGTAATGTGCACCATTTATCCTGCAGACATGAATGATATCTCAAATCATGCTGCTTATTGTGAGAAGTGTGCTTATACTTGACTAAGTGATCGAACTTGGCAAATCGAACTTGGAGAAAAATCTTGTAGACTTGCACTAATGTTCAAATGTTTGTAGGATTTTTTGTAAGATTTTTACATTATTTTGAAAGAAGTCTCTTATGCTCACCAAGGCAGCATTTATTTGATCAAAAACTGTAAAATTATGTAATATTATTACAATTTGAAATAACTGATTTCTTTTTTATTTTTATTTTATGCTAATTATTCCTGTGATACACAGCTGAATTTTCAAGATCCATCCATTACTCATATCTATCTATCTATCTATCATTCTTATGAATGTTTATTATGTCTCTTCAGGTTTTAAGAGGAAGGAGTTCAGGGGCAAACTGGCTATCGCTATCACAGCTAACTTCATTAACCGCAACACGACTGCAGAAGCGAAGGTGGAGGAGATCAGTGGAGTAGCCTTCATCTTCAACCAGAAGTTTTTCCAGGACCTTAGAGAAGCCACAGGTACAACAAGCACTCTTATTCAATATATGTCAGATCTTGATGTTCCAGATGGAACTTAATTACATCTGTGAACAGATGCAAACAACTTCCTCTTTCGATCTCTGTCCCCCTTTTTCTCCCCCCTCGACATGCTGTCTGTCACATCTCCACTTCAATCTCTTCTTCCTGCTCGCTCATTTTGTCTTTTTCTCTTTTGGTTTGCCTCCACAGGAATTGACCTGGAAAACATTGTCTATTATAAGGATGACACGCACTACTTTGTAATGACTGCCAAAAAGCAGAGCCTGCTGGAGAAGGGCGTCATTCTACATGTGAGTGATCAAAGAATTTGACTGCCGCCAGTTTTCTAACTAATCTCCACACTTTTATTCGCACTTCTCCCTCCCTCTTTATCTTTGTCTCTTCCTGTTTGCCTTTCTCTGTCCCTTAGAAAGTGCTAGCACACTTCTGCTCAAGGCAGATGATTTGAGATGCAGCACAAACATGAATTGAAAAAAATATGTTTTGGGTGTTGCATGCCAAAATATGAGACCAAAGTACCTTAGCCAGATGTGAATATTTACTACCATTCAAAGGTTTGAGATCAGTTACTTTTAAAAAAAATTTTAAAGAAATTTTTAAGAGTTTTTATTCATCAATAATGCATTGCTTTTATCAAAGTTATAGTAAAGGCGTTTATAATGTTGCAAAATAATTTTATTTCAAATAGTGTTATTTCTGAACTTTCTATTCATCAAAGAATCCTCAGAAAAATCTGTCACACGTCTGTCAAAAAAAAAAAGTAGCACAACTGTTTTCATCATTGATAACAAGAAGAAAAGTTTCTTTAGCACCAAATCAGGATAATAAAATGTTCTAGGTGTTTAATTCTGTCTTTAGGAGGCTTTTGGCCATAGGAGTGTAAATAATCATTACTTTGGGCGGACAGTCTGTTCCCTTTTATTCACAATGAGCTCTTCTGCTCTGATCCCAGTACTGCCAAGTTTGTTGAATCATTAACAGGGAGCCTCAGTCCCAGCCATTACTCTCACACTCACACACAAACTCTTGCATAATACAGCTGATATAATGATGCACAGTAATGACATCAATTAATGTAGCCCGATAGGTTGCGAGAAAGGGATGCTTACTTTGCATTTTTCAGGATAAATGACAAAATTCCACTGGACAAAACACTTGTTTTAATATGTAGGATTATGCCTTAAGTGTAATGGTGCTCAGAATGAAGCCATTTTAAATGAGTGTCAGTGCTGAGAGTCCTCATCTGTTTTAAAGAGCCTGACTGTTAGCAGAAACAATCACTGCTCGCTCGTAGCAACATGAATCAGAGAGGAAGATTTCTCTACCAATCATCAGCTTCCTAAGCTGGACTTTGCCATCAACCATTACGGCCAACCTGATGTGGCCATGTTTGACTTCACCTGTATGTACGCCTCAGAGAACGCAGCGCTCGTCCGCCAGCGCAACGCCCATAAGCTGCTAGTAGCCCTGGTGGGGGACAGTCTTCTAGAGGTGAGTGGAAAACCGATATGGAGGAGGGAAATAAGACTATGCTCATGTAAGGGAGTTTTTTATTTGTTATAACCTACTTTAATAGAACCAGATGGTTTTCCATGAAGTACCGCAAAATTGGCTTTTGCTCTTCTTCAACCTCTTCCTTTGACAAATTTCAACTTCTGAAAATACATTTTCTCACATAAATCTGAAACCACTGTGGTAATGAAAGCATTAAGTTAAAACCCCCCACACAGTTACACTAGCTAGACCGCGATTGTGAGGGCAGTTTTTCCATCTTCTTCCAAACAGAAGGTGACTGATTTCTAATATGAACTGTACAGCTGTTCATTTATCAATTTTAGTGTATGAGGAACAAGTTGGCTGATGGATATGTGCCTTTTTTTGTGTGTGTATATAGCCGTTCTGGCCGATGGGCACTGGAATAGCAAGAGGTTTCTTGGCAGCCATGGATGCAGCGTGGATGGTGCGGAGTTGGGCTCATGGAAGCTCCCCTTTGGAAGTGCTGGCTGAACGGTAAGACATGCTATGTACAGAATGGAATGCTAGTGTGCTGCTTACAGCATGCTGTGCAGTATAAACTGTATATTCCAACCATTTTATTGTTTTTAAAAATAATGCATAATATACAGTCTGCAATAATAAGTCTTTCAAAAGGTGCTTTGGCTGTTTTCACATGGCCTCACTATGTTGCTTGTTCAGTTCAGGAAATGTAAACCTATGATAATCAAAACAATGCAATTTAGCATTTTAATCCAATTTGTGTCTGAATATTTAAACTTTTCTCATACTGTAAAAATAGTATGAGTAATATAGTGTTATGCTATTCCAAACACACCCAGAGTGATACAGAACTTATGATGAGGTTGACAGTGATTGTGTCTTCAAACGAAGCAGTAAACAGCTCAAGTCCCTGCAGGCCGTCACTTACTGTGGCGCTTGTTTTCTTCCTGCAGTGTTATTTTGCTGCATACTGCAGGGTAATTCACAGTGTCAAAGCACTTTTCAACTTGTATGCAATAAGCAGTGTGTTTGTGGGGAAGCAAAAGTGTTTTACGAGCAAGTAGCTTGCATGATGTCTCTAGGGTTTTATCTTGAGACATCACTAATGGGATGAATGCCAAAATGAAGGGAATTTGGGTCTGAAATCATGGTGTGTAGTAATCATGAGCGTGGCTCCCTTGGGTTTCAGGGAAAGTATCTATCGACTGCTGCCTCAGACGACACCAGAGAATGTGAGCAAGAACTTTAGTCAGTACAGCGTGGACCCGACGACACGGTACCCCAACATCAGCCTTCACCAAGTGAGACCCAACCAGGTGGGATTATGCACATCTGACCCTTCAGAAAACCCAGCTGCAAGTTTTGTCTAGATATGTTTGCTAATATCTTAAAAAAAAAAAATTTCATACTGTACATTATCATGTTGTGATCCCTAAATTCAGTTTGTGTTTACAATTGCTATAAAGTTTTTTAATTAATTATTTTTTTCCCAAAAAAATATTAATATTGGCCATTTATCAGTTATTTGCTATAACATAAAACAAATATATGCTTATTTGTTTCTGTCCAAACTTTAATATTGGTGCATCCCAAAAAATAAAGTTTCTGATGTTACATTCTTTCTTTTTTTTGGCTTTTGTGTAAATCTGTAAAGAAGGTAATTAATTTTGTGCACATTTCATTTGTTGTCACTTCATGCACATATTGACATTTTATCTGCCTTCTGCCTGCTTTCTAGATATTGGCATCAGAAAAAAATGTCTGACAACTAGTTATCTTGGATAATGGTGACCCTCCTAAGGAATAAACATGAGTTCTAATAACTTTACAACATAATTGTCTGCAGGTACGGCATCTGTTAGACACCGGAGAAACCAGGGATTTGCGTGTCGACATGGAGAATGTGGTCAACTCTTCAACTCCTAAACTCACAAGAAATGGTTGGTAGATTTAGTGTCACATTATTATTGTACGTCAGCTGTGGATGCATTAGTTTTCCATATATTTATTTAGGTGTTTTTCTACACATTGGATAGTCTCAAATGTAAATGTGTATAACTTGATTTATTCTCATCCTAGACATTCTGCTTGAGAAGCAATTGCAAGGTAATTTTGTGTGCGACTCTAATCCTAATGCATGATGTTCTACAGGCTTCTACGTTTCAACAAGCTTTGTGCAGTTTATTGTATCAAAAGAGTAACTCTGACATGGAATGAAAAGTTGTCTTTGAGCGCTTTAGAATTAAATGCAACTATGCACTAACAAATATTTGTGGATTTTCACAAACTTATCAATGCCGTCGATGTCTTGAATGTTTCATAACCTCTCAAAAAGGAATGAAATGCACCATGAAAGTTCTTCAGACGCTGCTCTGGTCATGTGACTAACTCCGATTGGATGTTGGCGCATTCCATTACTGAATATGTACATTCTTGCTTAGGCACCACTTGACTTTGCTTACCCCCATCAGAATCCATTGTGCGCTCCAGTAAGCTGCTGAACTGGTGTCAAAGGCAGACGGAGAGATACAGAGGTGTCAGCGTGTCTGATCTCACCACGTGCTGGAAGAGCGGCCTGGCCCTGTGCGCGCTCATCCACTGTTACAGACCAGACCTCATGTAAGTGCAGTATGCCACATGCTGATCCCAACAAAAGCTCTGTGTTATTACGGTGCTATATTTAGAGATGCAGGACTGGAGCACAAACGCTGCCGCAGAGAATCAGAGATTCAGTTCATGCAAAGAATAACAAAACTTGAATTGGAAAGGACGTGTAAGTCATATGCCCACGCAGTGTGAGAAGACCGGAGATCAAGCAAAGTTAAAAAGAAAAATGTTTGACATTTTAGAGAGTTTTAAGGTTTTAGTGGTGGTTTGATAATGAGCTTTGGACTATCATCATAAAAGATGCACACTCTCTACTGTAGTTCTTTCCATCATTAAAAATAGAGCCCGACCGATATATCGTTTAGCCAATATTATTATTATTATTATATTTATTTATTTATTTATTTTTAAAGAAATGTATACTTTCATTTAGCAAGGACACATTAAATTGATCAGAAGTGACATTTATAACATTTATTCTGTAATAGGAGACAGAAAACTAAACACAAAACAAAAGATCTGATGAGCCCAAGATTCAACAGATTTGTTATTAAAGGCATACATAGTTCACCTAAAATAGAAAATTCTGTGATCATTTATGCACCCTTATATTTTGAATAATGTTTGGAACCATTGATAACTCATTGATTTCCATAGTATTTTTTACCTACTCTGGAAGTCAGTGGGGACTAACAACTGTTTGGTTACTCACATTCTTCAAAATACCTTATTTTATGTTCAGCAGAAGATAAAAATTCATACAGGTTTGGAACAACTTGAAGGTGAGTAAATGGTGTCAGAATTTTCATTTTTTGTATGAACTGTCCCTTTAAGCTGTGGAATATCAGTCAGCAAAAACTTGAGTGCACCTTTAAGCGATAATGTCATTGCTATTGCTAATATTACTCAAATGTTTCTTCTGCTGTGGTAGTTAATTTGTCCTCACCTCATTACTTTTGATAAGTTATTCATAGCTTTGTTTTTCATGTAGTATTTGTTTACTTGGCTCTGGATGAAACGCTTTAAAGCTTAAGTCTATGGAAAACCATTGAAACTTTGAACGGCCATATCTCCGTAAAGGCGCGGCGAATCCGCACCAAATTCGGGGGATCCTTTCAGCTCGAGGAACCCTCTCGAAAGCGAATCGATTGTACGTCTCGAGGCCCTCTTTCGAATGTGACAATTGTTAAATGCCCTGCCTCCATTACATATCTTTGTCACGTCATTATAAGTGTTTGATCACCACATTTGAGTGATCATTGCAAAAAATGTGTTTATGTATATATATTCTGTTTATGT